GGCTGGAGTGCAGTGGCCGGATCTCAGCTCACTGCAAGCTCCGCCTCCTGGGTTTACGCCATTCTCCTGCCTCAGCCTCCCGAGTAGCTGGGACTACACGCGCCTGCCACCTTGCCAGGCTAGTTTTTTGTATTTTTTTTTAGTAGAGACGGGGTTTCACTGTGTTAGCCAGGATGGTCTCGATCTCCTGACCTCGTGATCCGTCTCGGCCTCCCAAAGTGCTGGGATTACAGGCTTGAGCCACCGCGCCCGGCCTCTGTATTTTTTCTGTAACATTGTTTGATAGGAAAATCAGGTGTCATTATAACTCTGCCAACTGCATAGAATTAATTTCAGGAAATCAAAGTAGTAATAAATGTGCTTTGAAAAGTATATATTCTGTTAAAATATAACTAAATAATAGTCTCATTATAAGTAAGAACTGCATAAAACAAATAAGATTCATCTTTGTTGAGGCATGTTATATCCTCTATTTGCTTAATATACATTATCTCATTTAATACCTGCCAACAGTTTTAAGCATTAAGTATTTAACATTACCAACTTATAGATCAAGGAGCAAATTCATGTACAGGTTAAATCATTTTTCTAGGGTTGCATAGTGTTGTAGCTTGTCTTTCTTGTGCCATACTTCATGCTTCATCAATAGTATCATGGAAAATCATATTGTCTCCCAGAAAATATAATACTTCCCATTGAAAAAATCTTAAATAATTGTAAATATTTTTAGTCATTTTATCCATATTTTGACCAACATCCCAAATACAAATCATTTTACTATAATGTCACTGAGGCATGCCATTTCACAATTTTAAGTATAGGAAATTGTTTATCCTGTAAACCAAAAAGCATGTGAGACAATTTAGAAGTTTATTTCACCAAAGTCAAGGATAATGCCCAGGAGGAAAAAATAAAATAAAATAACAGAAACAGTCTATGATCTGTGTCCTTCTTCAGAGATTACTTTGAGAAATTCAATATTTATAGGAAAAGGCGTGCTGGAGAGAATAGAGGAAGGGTTTGGTAATACACATGTTGCAATAGAAAGGAAGCAGGTAAAGGAATACTCAATTGTGTATTTTTCTCATGCTCAGTAAATCAAATTTGAACTTTATATAAGATAATGTGAATATAGACAGTGAGGCCCTGCACAGCCTGGCGCAGGCAGGTGACTACTCCATGCGCGTGGACCTGCGGGCTGGGGACGAGGCTGTGTTCGCCCAGTACGACTCCTTCCGCGTAGACTCGGCTGCGGAGTGCTACCGCCTCCACCTGGAGGGCTACCACGGCACCGCAGGGCACTCCAAGAGCTACCACAGCGGCAGTGTCTTCTCTGCCCTTGATGGGGACCTCAACAACTTGCTCATCTCCTGCGCCGTCTCCTACCGAGGGGCCTGGTGGTACAGGAACTGCCACTACGCCAACCTCAACGGGCTCTACGGGAGCACAGTGGACCATCAGGGAGTGAGCTGGCACTACTGGAAGGGCTTCGAGTTCTCGATGCCCCTCACGGAAATGAAGCTGAGACCAAGAAACTTTCTCTCCCCAGCCGGGGGAGGCTGAGCTGCTGCCCACCTCTCTCGCACCCCAGGATGACTGCCGAGCACTGACGGTTCGTCCTGAGAGAAGAGCCAGAGGCCTTCACCACCCGGCCGCTGGAGGAAGCCTTCTCTGCCAGCGATCTCGCAGCACTATGTTTACGAGGGGGCGGTGGAGGGATTCGTACGGGAGCAATAAAGGAGAAACTGAGGCCAAAAAAAAGGTAATGTGAATATAGAATAGCTATCTGTGGAGATATTTAACCTTTTATCTGTAGATATCTGTTTAGGAACAAAAGGAAAGGTCAGTTCTTACATGACTCGTCTTATAGCTTTTAACTCTTGCCATAGTGATTTGAGGTCTCAATTTTTTTATTTTCCTTTCACAATCTTAAAGTCAATTGCTCTTGAACATGTGAAATAACATTTGTCTTCAAAAGGCTAATTCCTGGATAAGTGTACTTCTAGGAGGACCAAGAAGTATTGTGGTCGTGCATCACTGCATTTCTTCCTATGTTACCTAAGCTAAGATTGCCCTGGTTACCTAGGGCCGCTAATGCATGTTTAACAATGTAGCAGTAGGGAGTGGCACAAAATAGAATAACTCCACTAACTGGCCAAAACAAATAGCCAATTTTTTTTTTTTTTAAGGGCACACTTTCTTTTCATTTGGTAACATGTCATTAAAAAAATACTAGTCCCCGGCCGGACGCAGTGGCTCACGCCTGTAATCCCAGCACTTTGGGGGGCCAAGGCGGGTGGATCACGAGGTCAGGAGATTGAGACCATCCTGGCTAACATGGTAAAACCCCGTCTCTACTAAAAATAAAAATAAAAAATAAAAAATAAAAAAAATTAGACAGGCGTGGCGGGTGCCTGTAGTCCCAGCTACTTGGCAGGCTAAGATAGGAGGATGGCGTGAAACTGGGAAGCAGAGCTTGCAGTGAGC